ATTATTGTATGAATTAATAAGATTTTATACTAATTGCGCATGGTTTTAATACGCTAACATTATGAATATTTTATTAATAAATTGACAAAACAAAATCTTAAACAGACAGCATGGTAAGAAGAGCGACAATAACTTAAATTGTAATATAAGTTGATGCCGTATTGTTTGTAACTGTTTTTGAACGAACTCTCTATGTAATATAAACTTTGAGAATTTTATTTATTACCTCATATACCTACTTGAGTTTAAAGGATAATAAAATGAGTAACCAAAATGCCAACAGATACGTCATCCGCGCGGAAAATCCCTAGAGAGTCTAGAGGACCCATCAGAAAGAGCGTCACACACGACGTTTTCACCGGAGGCTGGGTTCTACTACGGCGGGGGTCAGTGGCGACGCTCGTATGATGACGGGGACATCACACCCACGAATGACTCGTACGAGGGAGGCGGCACTCTGCCCCGGCCGCGCGGGCTCGTGCGACCGCGGCCCGTCGCCAAGATCGCAGCCACACCCGCCTACCGCGACAAGTCGCCCGACTACGCGTACGACGAGCGCGCCTACTCCGCGCGACTGCAGCGAGTCGCGTACGGCGCCAGCCCGCACGTGGCACGCAAGCCACCGCCAGAGCCGCCCAAGCGACAGAGCTCTCAATACGCACCATTCTCGCGATTTGGCCAGACGACTGTAGAGATCCACCCTGAGAAGAGTCTGCCACTATCTCTCCCTGCCTACCCTAGCTCGGACTCCCTGTCGGTGTCGCTAGACAGTACTGGCCTACTGCCGCCACCGCCCGCGCCCGCCAGCCCGCCGCGACGGTATGATGACGACAAGCTGCGCACCGGCTCTGATGCTAGTTTTAAGGTGAGTTCAACATGAACATAGCAATCTCTAAGTTAACAAGTATGGAAGCATCGTGATTGCCATTCAAGTTCTCATTAACCTGTAAATCTTAACTGAAGTTTACTATCTTGTCTTTACAGTCAAGCTCCAGCACGGAATCGGATAGCATTCCATTTGCGAATGAAAACGCTGGGACCATAAAGCAGAACCGCGGCCAGATAGGAGGTCGGCCGCACACGGTGGAGTACGGGCGCGGCGGCATGGGGCTGGCCAGCCTGCCGCCGCGGGGCAGCGACATCAAGCCCACCACGCCGCACGCTCTGCCGGAACACAAGGACGAGAAGAGCTCGGAACCAGTCGACGTGCTCAACGACATCGGCAACATGTTAGCCAACCTCACCGACGAACTCGACGCCATGTTGGAAGAAGAAAAGCGCCAAGGACTCACAGATTCCTAAAACCCACAGACTATACAACTTTGTACTCGAATACATTTAAAACTTGTCAAAACTTCCAAAGAATTGGACATCGGCAAAGACTTCCACTAATTTAATGTTTATGCTGACAACTTTTGATAACGCAAGCAGCTATATTATAGGCATCTACATTATTTTAGAAGTGTAGCAATATTAAAGCAATTTTATTGTATTGTGTATTGCGTCTTTATGATTGTGAATTCTGAATAAGGCAACTGAACGTTGATGGGTTGAGTGGTTTATTGAGAGCGATTGAATTCAGAAAGTTAGGGTTTTTATACAATATACAAAACAAAACCGAGCTGTGTAAGCATTTCTTCCATTGCATAATTATATTTACCTCTATTTCAAAGGACTGAGTAAAGTAGAATGTGATGTTAATTCGACTTTCGAAGTCTGGAGGAGTTGAATTCCTCCATTTTGTAACGTGACAAAACTTGGATTTATACAAGTTGCTTCAGTAAGTACGTGACCATTCCAATACCGCGCTGAGCTCGCTACTACACTCGAAGCCACTAGCAGATAGTAATGTCACTTGCCATCTAACTATTCCTACACGACAAACAGATATACATACGTACTATATAATAGTTTTGTAGCATTTTGTACCGACGTAGTACATTTTATACATACTTGTAATTTAAACGTGTAGTTTGCTAAACGCCCTCTGTTATATCAATTTAGTGAGCTGTGTACTTTTGTTATTACAAATAATTAGTTCCTTGTAATATTAACAAATTGAGTGTTTTATTGGGATAGGAAAGAAATTAGATGTTAGACGGATCCAAAAAACAGACAAAAATGGCTATTTTTGTAAATATTGTTTTACTTAAATTATGTCATAGATAAAATATATCCCAGTAGTTAGTTTTTCATGTACAATAATTGTAGAGTATTTGATTATGATGTAGAGATTAATGTAGCTAGAATTTATACAAAACATTAGTCTAGTGATAGTGTGAAAAATTAGGATTTACATATTAATGTATTATAGACAAATATAAAGTTAGCTATAGCCCTCATAGACCATGTATGTTAACAATCTTGTAACGCATTAAGGACATGGCGTTTGCCCCATCATTGGAACAAAGACAAAGTTATGCTTCCCTCTTTATATAGTCTATTCCTCCATCTAAACGCTTGGCAACACTGCTTGCATCGGATTGCAGAATCGCCCTCGCTAAAAATGTTTATGGTGTTACTGAATTACATTAAAACTTTGAACATTTCGTACTTTTATATCTGAATAATAATAACATCGAATTCTTTGATTTATTCTCCACGTTTCAACGCATGTCCAGTCCAGATGTGATAAAAGCGGCCATAAGTAAACAGTGCACATTTTGTGATGGCAATGTTAAGTAAAATTAAACTCTTCAACATTTAAAGAAGTATATCATTTGAATTATTAAGAAGTGTGTTTAAATGTAATACGAAGAAGGGTTTTAAATTCATTTCTATAATGTATAATCACAAATTAACGGAATATAAAATGAAATTAACAATTTTAACCAAATTGTTTTACTGAACATGATATGAAATTTTACCTAACATTGCTTACGAAATAACACTCACAAAATAAACGAAACCAATAATATTTTCTCTACTAACACCGTGAATGTAATTAAAGAATAACATCTTAATAATTAGAACCATATATTTAAGCTTAACTTTGTAAATATCTAGAAATATGTGTTTCTATACAGTCTTATTTGATATTCACTCTCAAATGTAAACATTTTGTATACCTAATATTTAATAAAACCTGTTTTATTACCCACTCGTGTTTTGTAAGGTGCTAGAAAATGAAGCAAAATGTTCTACAATTTACAATTTAGTTGTTCTACTACGAACTAGTCAAAATTTATTTCGTTTCGAGTGGCAGCAATACATACTATCGTTTATATTTAATCTGAATTGTTTAAAATGTAATTTTATTATATTGAGCAGCTTATGATCCTCATTTAGTTCGTTTCTTATTTCAATAAATATATTTGTAATAATCTAATTCGTGTGGTTATTTACCCGTGTTTTTATACATACATACCTACTTACACGTCACTATATTGGGAGCTTTTTTTTTATTTATTTTTAAGGGGGGAAAATCATCGAATGACTGCTCCCGCCTGGGTGAGGCGGGGGGAGTGTCAGACTCAAAACCACCCCGTTCCTTCTCTTGCACGTCGAGCCGGAGCCCCGGTTACCCGTTAGGTTCTCCGCGACTCCGAATCGGCATCGGCCCTGTTGGCTGGCGTCCATACCGACCTATAATTAAAACTACACAGATTAATTATTATGTTTTTCGACTTATTCACGGTTTGCGGAATGCTGCTCATGAATATGAGCCTCTAGCATGACTTGAAACTAGTCGTGTCAATTAATTTCGTGAATAAGCTGAAAAACAAAATGATTAATTTAGTATGTCTCACGAAAGTTATAATATAAATGAAAATTGTACAATCCAACTGTTTACTTTACACATCTTAGGATTTACCGGTACAGTTCGACTGTACCTACAGTTAACATTGTACAGTTAAATTGTAAAATGTAGCGAACATTATACCCACTAACTGTTTGGACATGAGCATACATGGTAAGGCAAGAGAGAAAGAACAATCTTTACGTCATTAGAGATCTGTCTAAATCGTAACACAAAACAATACACTACTTACCTTTTTTAAAACGATGATGAACCTTCATAAGGCACCTGATAGAGCTTTTGGGGATAAAGACTTAGTAACACCACCCTTGTTAGCACTATCGGCACCTATATACCCCTTTATGATAAACAATAGAACAATTCTGATGATGAGCGATCATCGCTATCCATCCTCCATGGAAAACCCGCAACTCCAAAAGGAAACCACCCACTTTCATATCCCGCTTACCTAATTGGACCAAAGTAAAAGGCTTCGATTATTTAAATTGATACGCTATTGAAGATTTCGAATAGAGTCTTAAAATGATGCATGAGCCAGGTCATGTATGGAGAATAAATTATATTATTTCACTATTAACTCGTCGAGTACCTTCATTATAGACACAATTATAGAACAATAGGTTGCGGTCACCGGTGACCGCTTGGTAATTTTAGAATAAAATTCTTAACTTTAAAATAAAATTGTCATTTGACACTTTTTCGTATGAAAGAATTGTCAAATATTTACTATCTTTTATCCAACGCCAGATTGTACCTGATAGGTAAGGATATTTTCAATTTCCAATCGTACACGAAGAAGCAACACAACAGTCTTATCACAAACAAATCCCGCGCTAACCTCATTCCGAGCTACATTTCCGTTTTCACGGAACCCCGGAAGTTAATCTCTCATCTCTTTCTAACCTACTTTGTCATGTCAATGGCAGTTTCTTTCATATGGAAACTAATCTGCATTCATTTGTTCAAAATAATAGCAAAATAATGTGCATAGAAAATGCCACAGAAAATAAAACATACAACTACCGTCAACAATAAATACCTACATGATAATTTACGTGTAGATATTTTAGATGACAGCTCGTTTTCTACCACACAATGTCATTTTCCGGAAAACCGATTTTCCCCGAAGCTTATTGGCAACCCTACGCGAGTCCTAAAATTCCGACCAATCACAACGCGCTTCAGCAGATCGATGCCGCTACGCGAGCACGGAGAACGCAGTACTGTCACATTTCCCTGTTTGTCATCTGTGAATTTCGTCTGCGCGATCGATAACACGAATTGGCTATTCGTAGTTACAGAGGTTGGATACTTATTGAGCCGTTTATGGACGGTTAGTTTACGTTGGTGCTTCAAGTAGCAAATTTTTCATTGTAAAGTGATAATATGGATACGACCGGGGCGTACGGCGGCGGCAAGGCCGGGGGCGCCTTCGATCCCCAGCAATTCATCCAGAGACCTCCCGTGATTGTCAGGGCGGTTTGTTGGGTAAGATACTTTACATACTCAATATGCGGACCTTCATGTACCTAACACGCGCAACTCGATTTATTTTACAAATTTTCAGACTAGTGAGGATAATTTACATCTTTTCCTTTTTTAATTCAAGGAAAAAACACGCAATGTCATCACAGGAGATATTATAATTTGATAATAGATTCCATCGTTTAAAATTAGAATTTCTTTCTAACATAACATACGAATACGCTACGATCAAATAAATCCTACAACAGTTCTCTTTTTTCTTCTCTCTAAATTAGTTCTCTCTAAAAAGTTCTCTCTCTAAATTAATTTTCCAAACAGAACGATAAAGGCGTATCAATTTGAATATGGAATTATTTTTAAACATAGACACACTGTTTTTCAAACACAACATGTAGGTAATATATCTACACCATGTGACTGGCCTTGTGTTAAGTAAAGAGGTATAACCTACAATAGACAATTATTATTATCTGTGCATACATAGCTATTGTATCTTGTATTACACCCACTCTGCACGAATGCACATTGATTGCAGCTTGAACCTTACATAAAAGTGACCAATAAAATATTTATAGACTACAACTGGGTCACAATGGATCATTATTAAATCTACTAGGTATTGCTTTGGAAGATTTTATGAGTGGAAGAAGTTTGTTCTCGATTTTATAACTATGAGTTTTTCTTCTACAGATTTCATAATTGGTTTACTGTAATCAGTAGACGTAAATGTTTGACTTTAATGTCTAGGATAGAGCGCAGTATAAATTAATAGATAGAATGCAAAATACCTATGTAGATATTGAAATTACAGTCAGTAAACTAATGCATTAAATACATATTAGAAACACGAAACAATTTAACACAATCGTAAATCAGTATCATCAGTCCAAAAACCATTTTACTCAATACAAAAGTTTTACTAAAAAAAAGTAAAATTAACGTCAATTTAACCTCTAATGGCCTTCCTTACTAATTTTCTCATAAGAAACCTATACATGGCTATGGACTGACGTGTCTAATGTAGGAACAATACACTACTGTTATCATAGTAGTCCATCATTGTAAATAAGGTCAAGGACAAACAATCAATAAAATTGTGTCTAAATATTATGTTCTTTATGTTAAAGTTGTGATAGATTTTTGTATCGATGAATTGCAGAGATGTCAAAGGTCAAAGATCGTGATGAGTTTAGTTATCGGCAGGGTTTTTTTTCACATTAAGCTGCACTTGACGTAATCAATCTGTCTATGATTTATGATATTCTATATTCAATAGTGCAATGTCTATCTAGAAATAGAAGAAGTCAGACGCGATGCATTAAGTTATCTAAGAATGTGATTACTAATCGAACTGCTATTGTAAAAGGCTTGTGCGAAAAGATCATTAGATAGGTAATTGGTTAGACTTGATAGCCATAAAGTCGATAGAATACAATTTCATACCTAATATGTGTACGCAAAATCGGCAAGTACCAATGTGACTTTTTCCGAGTTATATGTACTTTCTAATATTATCTAGACACCTCTGACAAACGGTGAAGGAAAACATCGTGAGGAAACCTGGGCTTATAAGTTTGAAATTGCCAACTCACATTGAGCAAGCGTAGTTAATAATGCTCAAACCTTCTCCGTGTGAGAAGAGGCTTTGCTCAGCTGTGGGTACTTATAGGTTACTGTTGATGATGATGATAATGGTGAAAATCTGTCACATCTAAGAGAAGCACAAGAGAACAAAATTAGGTCATTAGGAGTTCCTAGATAAAATTAACAGTAAGTAACTGACTGACTGACTTCTATAAAATCTTTAATAATCAATGTCCCCAGCTCTTCAGCGTGATAGTGATGGGCTGTATATCAGCCAAGGGGTGGCGCACAGGAGAAGACGGCAAGGAGCACTGCGTATACAACGATGACACGAATGCCTGCAACTATGGAGTTGGAATCTCCGTGATTGCTTTCATTGCTTCCGTTGGCTTCATTGCTGGCGAGTACCTGTTTGAGCAGATGTCTTCGGTGAAGACCAGGAAGCATTATGTACTGGCTGATATGGGATTCTCTGGTGAGTTTGTCCTATATTCTTTTACTTTAGAAGTCGAAACGCAAATATAAGTAGCGTCTTTTGACAGGTTATGGATGGTGTGTAGACTTCCTTAATTAAACTAATCTCTCGCGTGTTTCTCGTACACACGAGTGTATGAGAGAGTTGAGTGCCCATCGCGCAATTGTACACACGGGCGTACGAGAAACGCGCACTGATTGGATATTTTTTCTGTGACGTATATTTTCAAGTTTGCAACCCGTTCTTCACTTGGTTAAACAGAATAGTTAATTCGCTTTTCTATTAAAATATTTACCCGTGGCGCGTTTACCGAGAGTACGACAAGCGCGCTAGAGGCTAAGCAATAAATACAAAGATTTTAGCTAGTAACCAGCTAAAATCATTCATAATAAAGATCACGAAAATGATAAAACGAAGCATATAAAAAAAGAATTAAATATTCAATTTAGTTCTACACTCATGTTTGTTATGTCTGCATAAGTAGGTACGTAACACTTGTTAAAAGATGACGAATTAGGATCTACCAAACAGCGTGATAACAAGCAAGTCAATATTGACCGTGTTACTCTGATCTAACTCGCGAGAGATTCATTACGTAATATTGATGAGACGGGAGTTGAGACCTCATTCTAAACACAATTATCCGAAGAGCGCACTTAATGACGTAGAGTGTTATTTTGCAATCTTAAATAATACATTAATCAATTACTACTATTGATTAAAATGGTTAAAGCCCAACTTGGAACACAGTAGTATCCTCGTAAAAATAGGTTTAACTATTTCTTTAAGATTCTAAAGTTCATATCTAATCTCTGTCTTAATGTATCGAGTCATAACAGACCCAAAATTTTATATGTTGGAGATCCTTAAAGTTAATGTCATTTTGGCTCTCCAAAGCCTGCTGCCTCGGGTTCGATTCCTGGGTCTGGCAAACTTTTACTGGGTTTTTATAAATCTCAGTAGTAGCACGGAGTCTGGAATTGTGCCCGGTATATGGTAATAGGCTCACCCCCTATTACTTGGGACTCATAATATAAATAGTGAAAAGTGGGTGTTACATTGTACAGGGACATAATGTGCACCTCTGCCTAGCCCTTCGGGGATAAAAGGCGTGATGTTGTCTTATATGATGTTATGGTTCTCTAAAGCTTAAGATTCGCTAAAGCCTGGTGATTCTTTCGACCTTAAAGCTCGTGACATTTAACCATTTTATTCTTCCCTCGTTACGCCCTACATAGGAAGGCGGAAGCAACTAAACTACACTACAGTAATACTAAATAACAAAGCTAAGACTTTATAACTGGCATTAAAGAAATAAAAAATGTTCTAACAAGGCCAAGTTGTGTAGTAACGAGAACCCTTGAACACCATTTGGCCTAAAAACTTGCACATAATTGCAGCTGTTTAAAAGTTGCATAAGTTCCAAAATGTAGGTCATTTTGCTACAGAATCTGAATGAAAATAATAAATATACACACATACATACATACAGTCATCCATTAATTAAAGGTAGAAAGAAACAATAGAACGACAAATGATACAATTCTAGCTTCTAGCACACCTCATTCGATTTATCTATCGTCATTAACCCATATATCCCCAAGCGGTCCTTATTTCCAATGTTTAGAGACTACTTTTGTATGAACAAATTTAGGGGATGATTTTCAACGAGTTAATCTCTTTATGTGCCTAAGCTGATCGATTCAGGCTATTTTTTTTTAATAGTTACCGTAATTGATAATTAAATATAGAATGCGTTCACCACTATAATGCTGATATTTAAATTACGAATAGATAAAAGAAGTTGCTACCTCGTTGGCCGTGTGATCGCAAGTGCAACTGCCCGGCAAGGGGTCTCGAGTTCGATTCCCGGGTCGGGTAAAATATAACTTTGGTTTTTAATAAAAAAATTCTCATTTGTAGCACAGAGTCTGGAATTGTGCCCGGTATACGGAAATAGGCTCACCCTTTATTACATGGTACTCATAACATAAATAGTAAAAAGTAGGTGTTACATTGTATAGTTGCATTAAGTGCCGTAATGTACAGTGTGCACCTCTACCTACCCCTCCGGGGATAAAAGGCGTGATGTTATGTTATGTAAAAGAAGTCAAATCGGATGTTTTAGATCTTTGTCTCCGGACAATGATCTCGTGTCAGAATGAAAAGTTCTGACTTATGATAAGAAGTTAGCATTTCTTTAAAATACTTATAGAATTCGCAGTATTCGACCGCAATTTCATCGTCGGAGATTTACGTGCTTCTTGTCCTTGTGGGAACTTAGAGAATTTTCACTTAGTATCTACCTACTCATTTTGTTTAAGTCGATAGCGTAGGCATTTGTGCTTTCATGTATTTTAAGCATATAGATGTTCTATATAAACATCGCTTAATCAGATTTGAAGAGAGTAGAGTACCCTTTGAGTACCGTCATTATAGACACAATTCGGAGAGTCGGTTGAAAATAATACTATATCCTAGTAAGCAGCACCTTTATTTTTCGGTTGACCCGGTGAAAACGGGCAGCGCGTCCCGCGACCCGCAAGAAAAACGGTGCTCATAGCCCCCTTCTAAAACTGGTTTCTAAATCTCCTTCTTCCTCTTCTGCTACTGACACTATCTGTGTGTGGTTCTGAATTTTGTGTGGGTGTAGTTTGTATGCCAGTTGTGGATTGTGAGCTTTGTGTGATGGTTGATTGAGTGGTATGTGGTGTGTGCGCTTGAGATGGTTGTAATTGATCGGAATCTGGAACAACACCTTTAAATATGAAATCTGAACCTAAATTACTTTTTCTTTTCATTTTTTTTTTAAATCGTTGCTCCACATTAGTATTTTCGCCTGTGCCGTGGATGCATTTACAAACATACAAGTTCACGTACGCAATGACACCCAGACCCGAAACAATAATTTGTGGATCACACAAAGTGTTGTTCCGTGCGGGAATCGAACCCGCGACACGTTGCACGGCAGCCAGTTGCCCAGCCACCGCACCAACCATGCAGTCTAGCTGCATTTTTAGCCAGTCGCACTACTTATGAACAATTCTCTCACAATATCCCAAAAACATTCTCCTTCAATGTAAAGTGTGTCAATAAACCCGTGGTGAAGATAAATTGATTTTGAGGTCGAATTAATTGGCCTCATCAGCGACCAGATATATATCTACCTACCTACCTATAGGTAGTATTCGCTACCTATTATATACGTGTGCATTATCAAGTCACGAAGGTCAAATAACTGTAATATAATAGGGCATAGGTATGTAGTAAGGAAACTATCTGGATATTGCTGAATGAAGTTGTAAACGTAATTAATAGATACTTAGATACATCATCATAATTGGGATGATGACAGGCTATGAAAATTAAAAATCTAATTAGTCTGTAAGTTAGCTAATGAAAAAATATTAGACACGTATTTTTTTATTTTGTTTTATAATAAAACAATACTTAAATATAACGATTCAAAGTTTAGGAGTGGGGGCTAAAACGTCATTTCTACGTATAAAATGTACATAGAAGTGTCGTCACACGACTTCAAATCAATATATCGTCGAAAGTATTCGTTTCTGTAAGAAAATAAAAAATACGTGTCTAATGATTTAAAATAATCTACCAGGCGGACATTAAAATAAAAACTAGGCATCTACCCTATTATCAGTTTGTAACACTACGGATTCACTACGCGATTTTCCATCTACCAGCCTCGGAGGCGGAATGAAGATTTCATTTCACTCACGAGACCGCAGTTTTCTGTGGTTTCCCAGCCGCCGCGGTTGCGATTATCGCTCGCAAACTTGGCGATGGATAGATTAGCAGCTGAAGTTCCAGACCGGCCTCCTCCCATAACTCGCATTAAACACCACTTTTAAGTGTGAGAGCCATGCTTCGGCACGAATGGGTCGGCTCGACCGGAGTGATACCACGGCCTCACAGAAAACCGACGTGAAACAACGCTTGCGTTGTAGTTCGGCGTGTGAGTGAGGTTTGCGGAGGCCCAATTACTTAAAGTTTTAATAAGTTACTTCAATAATGAAAAACTAATTAAAATCTGACCTTTTAGTAAACAACAGACAAAAGCACTTAATTCCTAGTCGCCGCATAGTACTCAGAATATTAATTGCTTCCCATAAAACAAAATTGATCGGTGTCCATATTTTTTACTACTTCCATTACTGTCAGGTCATTCGTTCCTTTATTACGGCACAACAATGACGTTCTAACGCGTTCCGATCGGATCCACAATCCCTCTCTTTCGATGTAAAATTTTATAGATCGTAAAATTCACCCTAATTTGTTACTTATCGTGTGAAAACGGATTCACGTTTACGAGGTCGAATGCGATCTTGTTACAGGGAAAGCTTCTTTAATGCGTGACTCGAGGCAGGTATGATTTTCTTTAGGAAACTGTCTGGTGTTTTCAGAAATGAACGAATTTTTTTCTGGTAAGTGCCTTTACCTAAATAGGTAGGCTGATCAACAAAACCATGGATATAATTCAATCAATTCATAATATTTTTCCTACACTTTTTCTACTGATAACATAAGAAAACGGCAACTTCATCAGACCACCACGAATGGGGCCCAATAGGGCTGATGCCGATACGGAGCCGCGGAGAACCTAACTTGGGCTCCGGCTCGAAGTGCAGGAGTAGGAACGGGGTGGTTTTAGTCAGTAAGAGTCTGACATATGATGATTTTCCCCCCTTAAAAAAAATAGATTGTATTATAAGTGGATTGGCACGGGTTGTTGTGGGAGAAGAATAGAGATAGACTAAGATAACTAAGAACTTCTTCACATTAGATTCGAACGGTAGTGTGAAGGGGCTCTGTCGCAGGAAAAACATGATCATACATAAACCACGCTTAACCTCCTCACTTATTTTTAATTTCCAGCATTCTGGGCGTTCCTATACTTCGTTGGGTTCTGCTACTTGTCTAACGCGTGGGGCAAGACCGACAACCCTCCAATGGGCACCGCCAACAATATGCAGGGAGCCATCGCCTTCTGTTTCTTCTCCATCTTCGCCTGGGTGAGTAACGATAACACTCGTTATTAAAAACTTTAAAGCTGTTCTTGTTTGGTGCTTCAACTTTCTTATAATAGACTTATCAATTCTAAATTTTCATTTAAAATCAACCAGATCAAACAGGACATTACCTTACTTAGCTGGTATTCTTTGAGAGGGTGGTACTTCTCCGGTCCAGATGGCCCATTTAATTCAAGTTATAAAGCAGCTAGGCTCTGACCCCGAAATACATTCTCTATATTTCTTATTTACGAATGAATATATTATCTTCCGCAGGTGGCCTGTGCGTTCTTCGCGTTCCAGCGGTTCCGTGTAGGTGCTGACGCAGCGTTCGCGCCGGCATATGAAGTAGAGGGCGCTGTGGGCAGCCCTGGCGCCTTCCCCGCATACCCCTCCGCCCCCGACCCACAGCCCGCCTACAGCGACCCGCCATTCTCGCAGACGCATGCCTCTGGTGAGTCGATCCTGCAAAATTATTTCAGTGCAAGTTAAAGTGCAATAAAAAGTTGTAGAATCCAGGAATTGATACGAAAGATGATGATAAATACTTAGATACCTACGATAACAACGCATGGGACACATAAAACGATCACATGCGTATTATAACAGAAGCTATGCTTACCGATAAGTACCAAAAAAATGGCAGATTGGCTCTGGCGAAGAGTAGATTTCTGTCAGAGATCTAATTTTAAATCAAATACTGAAAGGCTTCTCAAATTTAAGTTGTAGTTACATAAATACGGTGCGATCTCTTTCATTTAAGAATTGATAGTGACAACACTATCCTACTTAAGCGCGCCTTTCAGTATTCGAGCGATAGAAAACTAAAATTCAAACAAAAAAGTCCACAGTATAAAGCACTTACCCGGTGCCTAACACAAGGATCGTACCTATTGAGGACATTGCCCTAATTCCCTTAATCCTTAATTAGTTGAACCTGCTTCAAATTAATACCGGACTAACCTTGATTGTAAGCCATTGTTTAGATACCTGCCTATGAGTAGATACTTATTGTTATTACCTAACATACCCTTACGGGTAAGTAACTGGAGTAGTAGGACACTATACAATGTCCCACAAGGCATTCTTATTCTTGATCAAGTTTCTAATTGCCCTTAAGACATTTGTTGAATATCTATAGGGTCTTGGAAATTCAGATATATTTTGAAAATAATTATTTCCGTTATAAATTTAATTGAAGTTCTATACTGAAATTCAAACACATAAAAACATTGATTCGTGGTTTTGCAAAGACACAAAATAGTGCTATAAAATTCTCTCTTCACTTTTCAGGAAACATCGACTACACGGCCCCAACCTACTAAGCTCTAACGGCACGGGAATGAATAGAACATTATCAAGTTTATTTGCAAACACAACAAAACTGGTCGTAAGTAATAATACCTAATTATTACAGCAAAACCTTTAATAAAATACCTATAAAACAAACTTACTAAAGAAAAACGATTTATTCGTAGTATTTAGTCGATTTTCATCACTCGATTGTCTAAATCGATACCAACTTTAGTGAAATATAAATAACCAAAGATGTATACAGTTCTGCTTTATATTAAGCTCTATTTTATTAGTGGATGGAGTTTTAATAGATGAAAAAGGACGGAAGGATTATTTTGGCCAATGATATAAAACGTTTTAATGGTAACTGAAATACCTATTACTAGTTACTTCTCCAATTAACTAAACCATTCGAACTTTATCAAATAGGTAACAAAACGACAGTAATCCAGAAAACATAAACCAATAAATGAAATTGTGGTAAACCGTTAATATTTCATGTTCCTTTTCAAATTTCTCATTCCTAATAAAGTAGGGTTTATAAACAAATGAATGTAATTATTAAAAATGTTTCAGTGATAGCAATCATGTCCATTTATTTTAATGAAGCTTATTTTTCTATTTATTTGTTAAGCGTAGTTGTAATCAGTCATTATTACATTTACTAAATAATAATACCAAAGTTGATGTATATTATAATCAGATAATACTTATTATATACATATATAATAATATTTATTCAAATATATGAAAGTGTTTTGCTTCACAGTACCTGCTTGTAGGTATATCTCGACAATATTCACGTGTATAATGTTATAACATCGTATTATATTGTAAATATCAATGTATGTACTCTAAACAGATTATAAATATAATAAAAATATTCCAAGGTCTCAAGCGACGTCATAATAAGTAGAATGTAATAATTTAAATTAAATTTTGAATATAGTATAGCGTTTCCTAGTCTTGTAACTGCGATAAAAAGACACTGTTCCAAATAGTTATTTAAAAAATTACTTTTATTTTTTCTATCCTGTACTTGATGGTGCTGCCATCTAGTCGTTTGAGGCCGCAACTAAGTGATATTTTATTTAAAATCTCAATTCTTTTCCACTTTCATTGTGCCATGTCTTTGAAATTTATTGAAAGTTTATTTTTATAGTAAAAAATGTTATTTTTCCTAAAGAACCATGTTCATTACCTCATTCTAGCTATGTCGTATAGGAAATACAAGTTATATATTATATTTAAGAGCAATCCTGAACTCGTTGTGGTTATTACAATAGATATAAAAAATATTCAAACAAAAGATATTACTCTTATGAATCTCAAAATTGTGAAGAATGCTATTATAAGCACTACTTAAACTAAAACGAGAATTATATATAGGTATTAAATAACTAGACCTATATACAATTTTAGTAACTAACTATCCCTGTTTGACGTACAAATAGTGCACTATATCTGTTAAAAATCTCACTATGTAAAAGAAAATATTATTGGGTGGCCATCATATAACAATGAATTATAACGTGTTATATTATTAGATACAAATATAGATTTTTTGAATAGCTTAAATAAGGTAAATATACCTACAACTTTGGATGGTGTTAGTGCTTATTATAAAAGAAGCTTTTCTATATATTTTATATATAAAGAACAGCTAATATAAATTCTATATATTTGTTCTTAAATATAACGGCCCATTGAAAATCTCTTGAGAAGGTGAAATACTGATCTTCAGGCTGTGATGAAACGTTCATAAAATATTACAAGAAATAAGCATTAAAATCATTCGAACTATCAAATTGGATACCTAATTTAATTTCAGTTATATCAAAGAAAGTTATCTAATGTTAAATAAATGATCCAATATACATTCAGTATTAATACATAGACTATATCATATATTATGTATAACTAAGCGCTTTACCCAAGATCATAGTATTTTTTTAATATAAAAAGAATATATTTCTAGTAAATGCTATCTTACTACTATTAGACTATTAAATATATAATTTCTGGGCACATTTTTATTATTACTCTTGCATATTTTTAGTAAACTTACTATAATTACTAAGCTGTCGATGTAATTTGGGCTCTATTAGAGTGCTTTAAGGTCTAAAATTGAGTACAAAACAGTTGACCCCGGGGTGAATAATTGAAATGTGTCCTGTAGGACTTTGAGGAGTCGGCTTGCTGATAGTTTGATGTTTAATAATGGAATATTACCTGTAAGTGTGGTTGTTGTACTCACTATGTGTAGGAAAGTACTTATGTGTGCAAATGGTGTTCTATTATATAATATATTAAATATTATATATGAATTGACCGATATATCTCATCAAAGTGTATTTCATTTGATATTGCGTCGTAATGCGATGTTAGAATTCGTATTTCTAATGAATTAGGGTGTTAAATGTGTGCAATAATGGTTCTAAACTATATATATATTCGAATATATATAAATGGATATTAGCGTGATATTTATCGATGTTGACTTCATATGTCAGCAAGCCTGTAGGTGTCTTTATCACTTCCATAGCTTGCACTATTGTTTATAAATAAAATCTTAGCAATAAATCTGTATTCAAATGTATTCGTCACTCAAAAAGTATTTAATCACGGTTAATGTTGGCAACACTTACATTACATTTTTACGCTTGCAAGCTTTAATGAGTGGTGAGTATATTTGAAATGTGTAATATTCATATCAGTCTTATGTGTTAAGGGCATCGTAGTATGTATCAAAAGACATTTCAGTCAAGGTATGTAGTAATTTAGATATATATAGTATTTGAAGCTTTATCATGTCGACGTGGCAACGGAATGAACCAAAAGAAAATATAAATTAACCTGTGACTAATAATGTTTTACAAGAAAAAAATACAAGATGTTTTGGCACCCCTATTATAAACATGACAGCCAAATATCCTAAACAATTTTTCAAATGGAAAATTTTAGAAAACTCAAAAAGCAAATGCCCTTCAAGCACATGATTGATAGAAAAAATATTAATAATACTTTATATAAAATAAAAAAATGTTATTAACGTTTACAAAAATGCTGACATGTAAACATTCTGTACACTATACGTAGATAAATTTAGCCGTAGATATCTTGTATGTTTGTTAGTATGTTCAGAAGATAATAAAAAATCTACTAAACATTAAAAAAAATATCGTATTAAGTGTTGAGTATTTTAATGCTAAAGTCGTTCAGTGTTCGGTAAAATAATGTTAAGAGCGTATGTAAAGAGGTTTCTTGTCGATTTTATTTTTTTATTTCGATTTATTCTATGTTATTAGTACTTATCTGTACTCGAATTGTGTACCAAAGCCATAATACCTGAGAAATGAAATGTGGATAAACAATTGTTTCGTATTTTTTTGATCTCGACTATATAAAAATACTTTACTTATTTTTTTAAATAGAACTCTTATTTACAGTAACTAAACGAAGTTACTGTTAATATAAAAGATGGTACTAGCTTTCCAGCAATTTTAAAAGTAGGTGCCCTCAATTTAACTACCCAATTTGGTACCTACTGTGAAAAAATCTGCATCTCCTCTCAAAATTAAGACAATTCTGTGTATTTATTCGTGTTTCCGTTCTGTGTAGGTACATTTTGTGTATAAATATCGTATTGAACTACACTGTTATATCATTTCAAAAAAGTTTGAAAACAGTTTTGTGAGAAGTTAAAACAAGTGGCAACGAAATTAAAAATTACTTTTTAATCTTGACAGTGAGCTGATTCTAAAAACAATTTTAACTAAGAGAGTAAAGAATGAATTTATAAAAAGAATATGAATATAACATTAGTACATCATAATTTTTCAACTTATCCCTATACGTAAACGGCGCAATACAATATCATAGATATTGTTCATGCATTTTCAAAGCCATTATATATTATATATATATCTTATCGAAACTACCATCACTCGTAAATAATTGCGATAATTTCACGATAACAAAACGCATAATTGAAATATTTTATCGTGAAATTCAGTGACCTGATTTTTCTTATCAGAGATGGGTTGATAACGACGTCTCTAGTTTGGAATGTAGGTATACGTCGGATTTATTCGTATCGCTGAAAGAAAGTAAAGTGGGGCAAAGATTTAAAAAAAAAAGAAAAATCAATGTTACTTTATATATAAACAGGCACATAAATCGCTAAAGTAAATACAGGAAACTAATTGTTATCCTCGGCTTCATCCCTCGTGGTGTGAAAGACGGATAACAATCACACTATTACTAGTAATACGGCGTGCATTTCAAATAATATTTGATATAAATACATAGCCCGAACGGCATTACAAAAAGCAAGGTAAACTTGAGCAATAAAGAGGCATTTTCTTGCTCGACTTGGCTGGCGTCACTACCGTGCTGCCAATTATGTGCAACCAAAATAATATACAAGAGGCACTTTTTTGCTCAACTTGTCTGGAGTCACTGCCGTGCCCCCCGTTAAACATAGATAATCAATAATCCTGAATATTTCATTCGTAAATGATTCCAAACGCACAAACCAAGATGAGTTCAATTCGATAGCTATATACATAAATGTACCACTGTCTTTGTACGTATGTTACTAATGTGTTTAATGTTCGATAATGATGTGCAAATGGTAAATAAAAATTAATTGGATTAATAGACATTTCGTCGATTTTGTTTTTTTTATCCATCCCATACTACCTATCTCCCTCCAAAATAATAGGATATCCTTTACCTATGGAATTGCCGTTTCGTGTGAAAAAATTAAAAGATTTCAACGTTTTTTTTTAAGTATTTTTATTTGTATTAATCGAAGTAATCATTCACACAATCAATGCATCTTTGCCAACGCAGTGGCAGTTCATTGATTTCCTTCTTAAAGAAATCAGTTGAACGGGAGGCAACAAATCCTTCAAAGGCATTTTGTACTGCCTCTCAGGTATTGAGTTTATTTTCCGCTAAGAATTTATCCATATACTGGAAAAAGTAGTAGGTAGTCTATAGACGCAAGGTCTGGTGAGTAGGACGATTGGCGTACAGCTTCCAACCTCAGTTCTTGCAACTTCAAGCCTGCTATGGAGAATGAAGTCGCGCGTTGTCGTGCTCCAGTAATGCTCACCCCGTTTGGTAAAAAGCTTAGCTTATAGGTAGGTACGTTATAACGGCGCTAAACCCCCAAACGACACGAAAATTTATCCCGAGGTTGGATCCTGAGGTTCATCAAGATCAACTTGCTGAGCGCTTGCGGTTATCAAACAGAATCCAGTATTCATCGCAGGTAACAATGGGGTTCAAAATTCCTATTCGTGTGTCTGTCGAGCAGTGCAAGGTAAGTACGTCTCGAGCTGGCGATCCTTGAGTTTTTTTTCATTGCCAAATTGACACAAATAGACCAATATTGTTTTGACGCTAACATCGAAAGCCGCATCTAATTCAGTCGTAGATTGTGTATCATCAGCTTCCACAATCGCCTTTAACTCGTCGAGTAGGTACCGGTTTTGTAGACACAATTATAGAACAATAGGTTGCGGTCACCGATGACCGCTTGGTGTTTGACAGTTTAATTCGTCATTGTCGACCAAAGTCAAGTGATCCGCCTGCTTGTTTGCCTCCTATTTAATAAACAAAAGTCTTCGGACGACCGCGAGGTTCATTTTTCAGGTCGAAACTT